GCACCTTTTTTCAGGATGATAAGTAAGTGTAAATGCATGGTCAGTCAATTGTATGCACAAAGCACAGTGTGAGGTCCTATAAGAATAAGTTGCAGGAGTTCTGTAGCAGAGGGAGGATTGAAGGGGGGCACAATAGAGTGGCTCTGGGGGGCTAGTCTTGTCACATGTCCAACCTACAAGTTTTTTGTTTTTTGTTGTTTTTTTTTTTTTGCTGTGCCAGTTTTATTATGGAGGCCAGGTGTGGAATACAGAGACTCTAGCCTGTGCCCACTTAGAAAGCACTAAACTAGGAGTCAGAAAATCTGATACTACTTCCAAATCACCTTATCCTAGACAAGGTCATTATTGTGTCTGAACACATTTCCCCATCTAGACTCAACTTCACCTACTAAGCACCATGTGCCAGGCACATTTCCAAGGACTTCACCAACACTGATTAAGTTAATCCTCATAATGACTGTAAGTGGCAGGTGATATGAGCATCCCCACCCCACATCACATGGTGGGATGTCACACAGCAGGGATGTGGCAAAAGCTGTGAATTTGTCCCCCTCCCCTCTGGCTGCCTACTGAGAGCTCTAGGCTGTTATGCTCAGCTCTAGTGACTAGGGGTCTATAAAGCCACAGCCCAGCGTTCTGAGCAGACCTGTGGGTACACCCCTCAGTGTTACTGACCATAAGAATGCAATCCTTGCCTTTCCCCAAGTTTCCCCATTCTTCAGCTTCTTTGGCAGAGAGACAGAGGCAGCAGCTGGAGGGGCTGGCCTAGAGAGAACTCATAAGAGAACTCATCTGTTACTCTGAGGACCTTTTGGGATCCTAACTTGGGTTGTGAATAGGAAGGCTGGGCACTCCTGACTCTCTGGACAAAAGAACCGCTAGTAAAAATATTAAGAATTACAATTATGTGAAATAAATGGATCTCTGGATTAATGGACATACTCTCACCCTAGCCTACCCTCACTGATCCCTACGGGCAGGGCAAAAGGAAAGCACAGCCAAGTGGGGCCTTGATACCAGACACCAGCAGCTGCTTCTCCAGAATCAGAATTTTCCTTCATTTTTAAAGGGAATTAATCTCTTGAGTCTCTTGGTCTGACTTAGCATGTCTAGGAACAAAGAGCAGAATATGTAGTACAGTAAATCCCAACTCTGCGTTGTCCATTACAGGAATTTATCACAGATGGTAATCATTAGGATTCTAACATCTTGAAGGAAAGAGTTTTATCCAGAATCATAAATAAACTGTAACCAAGGCTTAGATTTATAAAGCTGTAAAATAGGGCTGCTTGGACAACAGGGAATTTATACAGTACTGGGTTACAAAATCAACTTTACACATAAAAGCTTGAACACAATCTTGGAGTTCTGGAGAAGATATTCAGGAGTAACTTATTTCTGCAGTAGTAGACCCCAAATCTAAACCTAGTAACATTAAGTCCCAGTTCAATCTCATGAAACACAAGCTCAGAGAAAATGGGTGCTGGCATCTAAATATGGCATTCTAATTCTTAAACAAATTGCAGTCCAGTAAAGCTTGGCCCTTCCTTGTCAAGATTCTCTGGCTAATTCTGTCTTGTAAATGCAATTTCAGTTCATAACTAGTATTGCCCAAAGCCCTATAGTTTTCAAGTGGCTTCAAATAAGTCAATTTTGATCAAGAGTCTCCCTGCCGTGGAGGGCATCCATAAGGCTCCCAGTTGTGGGGCAATGATGCAAAATAAGACCACTGTAAAGGTAAAAGACCACTTTTACAGATCAAATAATTATAGTATGCAGGCTTCAGTGTGCTGTGTAGACAATAGTTAGAGAAGAAATTGTGGCGAGTAGCAAGGATAAGGAGACTGGAGTTACCGGGGTAAGATGTGTGGAGGCAAAAGAACTTGAGAAGACGGGAAGGATGAGTGAGATGTTCACCCGTGGGGAACAGTTTACTCAGTCCCCAATGTTTCCCACAAATGTGCATCATGTCCCTGCTATGGCTCTCATCCTATGCCAGTCTCAAATCACATTTGTGGTCCTTAAAATCCACATCTTCATTCCCCCTCAGATTCCTTCAAAAGACTAGGAAGGGGAAGCTATCACCTCTCTGGATATAGCCCATCCAGATATGACACCACCAAGTAGGTATCCAGGCTGAGGGTGAAGCCAGGAAAAGTCCACATCCCCACCCTAGCCCCAGTGTTGCACTGTATTGGGTTTAAAAATAAGCAGAAGGAGAAAGGGGCAGTGCAGCCACAGAGAAACAAGGCCCTGCCTCAGCTTCTTTGTGGAGGGATTCTGTTGGCATACAAGACACACAAGAGAGAGAACAATAAGATGCCCCATGAACTTGGGGAGTTTTGAGGGAGGCCAGGACCCCACAAAGGTGACCAGTATTCTGCCCAAGCAGTAAGGGAGGATCTTATGGGAAAGAGAAAGTAGTACAGGCACCAGGAGGTCCTGTGCTCTGTCCCTTGTAGAGCTACGTGTTGGGTGGGAGGCTCTCAAGTGCCTTTTGAGACTAGAGGTCTCTGCTGGGGAGAAATGAAGATGAGACCAGGAATCTGGAGAGCAGAGAGAGAAGAGCCCACAGGAAAGAAAGAGCTTTCAGAGCTGGATTTGAAGTCTAGACTTTCGAGAGGTTGCTGGGGGATTCTAGGTGTCTGCCCTGCATTGTCCAGTCAGGATCGCAGAAGGGTTGGTAAAAAGCAGAATTCAGGGTTGATACCTGCTCTGCAATAAATTGTCCCCTTGTCGTATTTCTTAAGAACCTAAAGCTACCTAGGCAGGTGCAAGAAGAGGAACTCCCTCAACCAGGGCCAAAGCAAGCTAAATTGTTCATGGTATTGCTTTGGATAAGGCTGAGCATGGAACAGAAACTGTCTTGTTCACATCAGTAGAAATAGCTACCTCTTTAATTATCTACCCAGCACCGGCAATTGAAGGGGCAAAAGGAGGCTGGAGAGGAAAATATATGAGGACCTCTGAGAATCACCCCAATTTGCTACATTTGACAACACAGACAACACATTCATTTGTCACCCAATTTACAATATAGGAGAAGCTCATGTTGCTAATCTGCTGTCTCCAAGAATGTAATGGAAATAAGTTACTTTTGGCTAATATCCAAGATCTGCAAAGAATTCATACAACTCAACAAAAAAAGATAAAAAGTGCAAATAATAGGCAGCAGAGATAAACACTTCTCCAAAGACATACACGTAGCCTATAGGTACATGAAAAATGCTCGTCATCACTAGTTAGGAAAATGCACATCAAAACCACACTGATCAGGAAAATGCAAATCAAAACCATCTCACACCTGCGAGAATGATCCACATCAAAAATACCAGAAAGAACAAGTGTCGGTGAGGGCGTGGAGAAAAAGGAACCCTCTTCTACTACTTGTGGGAATATAGACTGGTCCAGCCCTTATGGAAAATAGTGTAACTGTTTCTCAAAATATTAAAAATGGATCTATCATATGATCCAGCAATCCCACTCCTAGGGATTACATCCTGAAGGATGCAAAAACACTAATTCAGAGAGATACATACCCTCCATTGTTCACTAAAATACTATTTACAATAGTCAAGCTATGGAAACAAACTAAATGCCCAGTGACAGGTGAATGGATAAAGAAGATGTAGTATATGTACACAATGAAATACTACTCAACTATTAAATAAGATGAAATCTTGCCATTTGGAACAACATGAACAGAACTGGAAAGGATTATGCTAAGTGAAGTAAGTCACAAGGATAAAGACAAATATATGTTTCTTTATACGTGGAATATATAAAGATGATACAGACAAAAATAAACCAGAACAAGGTATAGACAAAGATACAGACAAAAATAAGCCAGAACAAGGTCTTGAAATATGATTGCAGAACTGAGGCTACCAGAAGAGGGGAGGGGATTACGGTGGAGGATTTTAGGTGCTTTGATGATAGGTGTGATATGGTAACATACATCTGAAGAGGCCCAAAGCTATAGTCCTAAAACATATGCAGTGTTGTAGACCAACATTACCTCAATGAAATAATGTAGTTAAAATATAAGTGAAAATTTAAAAATTTTGATCAATGAAAAAAAATAATTCTAATGAAACATGTTTTTTAGAAATTTATTACTTAGATATAAGTTCATATTCCATCTAATCACTAGTTACAATGGTTCATAATTTATAATTTAAAAAATAATAAAAAAAGATTTATCACAAAGATTCTTATGACTGAAAGGATATAAGAGGAATATAACTGCTAATTAAGTTACTGTAGTCAAGTGACTGGTACTTAAAAATAAAAACCTATAAATTCCTTTAATAGTATGTTTGAATGACAAAATAAAGGCAATATTTTTAAGAAGCATAAATGACAATTTTATGCTCATTATTACATTTTAATATATGAGTTCATTATATGTGGGCAGAATAAACTGGAATGTTCTTAAGAATTCAAAAAACAAAGAAATGTATTACCTTTGTTTATAAAATTTGAGGACCTCATTTTATAAGACAATATAGTATAGCTGGAGGTATAGTAGTTCTGCAGTCTATTTTGGGTTTGAATCACCAATCACACTCCTCACTGTGTGAACTTGAGAAGATGACTTTGCCTTTCTGAACCTCAGGTTCCTCATTTATGAAATGGAACATTTAAAGATAATATTTGGCTGACAAGGCTATTGAGGATATTAATTTCGATGGCATCTATATTTGGCTTAATCCTGTGCATCCAGTTAAGGTCATTACCATTCTCTTCCTTCTCCCTTGGTAGAGATGTTCCAGGAAAAATAAACATTAACAAATAATTCTGCAACACAGTAAGCCCAGAAAAAGGAAATGTGGGGCTTATTTGTTGTCAAGTTCTACTATGTACCAGTAAAACATTTTCATAAAGTGTTTGCTTTCTACATATTTCTTTGAAGCCACGCACTACACTTCCCAACTGCCCTGTTGTATATAAGGCCACTGCAATCATCAACTCATGTCTCCTCTCTGATTCTCTTCCAGGGGCGCTGTATCAACTTCACCAGAGTCAAGAACAATCAGCCTGCCAAGTACCCCCTCAACAACTCCTACCACACCACCTCCCCACCTCCTGCCCCTATCTATACCCCACCACCACCTGCACCCCACTGCCCTCCCCCACCCCCCAGTGCTCCCACACCACCAATTCCATCCCCACCTTCCACCCTCCCTCCTCCTCCTCAGGCTCCACCTCCCAACAGGGCACCACCCCCCTCCCGACCTCCTCCTAGGCCCTCTGTCTAAATCCCAAAGGTCATGCTCTGGGTTCTCAGAAACTTTGGGGAGGAGGCTCCTCTGTGGTGTTAGAACAAGTCTTTCCAGTTAGAGGAGACCTCTGCTTTGGAAATGAGTGGTGATAAAGCCCACTGACATTCACACACTTTAAAATTGGTTTGTAATGCCAGTATGCCAACAATTGTGATCAGCGGAAATAGAAATCTTGAAATGCCTGAAAACAAATAATGAGGCAACTACAGTCACAATTCTAGTCAACCAACCAGTCTAGAAGGTTCCAGAGAGAGTGAAACTGCTGATATGCTCTAAATGGGATTGTGTCTCATGGAGACCAATAAGAAAATCATTTTTCTCTGAAGGTGAAATGCAGAGTTGGATAAGAAATAACACTGCTGGGTTTCTAAATGCTGCCTTTCCTCCTCCACTTTACCCTAGACCCTTGGCCTAGGCATCAAGGAGTCCTCATCTAGGAAGGTGGAAATCCTTTGTCTACAACTTTATGAAAACTTGAGTTTCCCATTGTGGCGAAAAACTCAACATCAGATAGTTATCCAGAAGCATGCTTTCCTGAAGTGTGCCTCACTTTCCTTTCAAATTCTCCCAGTTTCCCAGTGAGGAAGAGAGCAAGTGTCCACTGATGGAAAAAAGGTACGTTGCCATGTTGCTGTGTAAGTGAAATCAGATGTGTGCATTGGCATCGAGAGTATTGATGGGCGCATCAGACAGTTTCTGAAACCCACAGGCCATCAGCATCAGCAGCTAGAGGTGACTGGCTGTGGCCCAACAGACAACAGCTTTGGCAAAGAAGGACCTGTTAATGATTCAGGTTAAAAATCAAGATTTTACTTTGGTTTAAATTACTTGAAATACAACTGATTCATTTTCCAGATATAAAAATGAGTTGAACTCCCCAAAATAGTGTCATTAGCACTACCAATTTTTGCAACTTTTTTTTTCCTTTCTCTTTTGATAAAGTTTTGCACCAGAGACTTCTCTAGGTAGAGATGAGAGACCATCGTTCTGACATAGTAAGGATCATGAAGCAAAAGATTGACCCCAAAAGAGATATGTGTGGTAGATAAAAATATATTTCTTCTTGGCTTTTCAACATATCACAAAAATCAGCTGTCAACCCAAGGGAAATACACAAGATGTGCAACACACAGATGCTCTGCCTGAAATTCCCATCATGCCTGGGAACCCTCCACTACAATTCCTGGAAGACTTTCTGTATCTGTTGTCATTAATAAGCCCTATAATTACTTTCTGAGCATAGGGCTTCATCACCCAGGGTGATGCATCAGCCTCTTCAAAATTATCTCCCCATCCAGCTTTCTACAGGTCTTAAAAATTCCTCTCCCAAACTGCCCAAATTCTTAAATCTTTCTAATTAAACTTGGTGCTTTGAGCTTCCTCTCCAAAGATCCTTCAAGAACCCATCAAGCCAGTCTAATTCTTTCCCCTTTCATAGAACAAGGACTTAAAGACCTGGCATGCATTCCATCAACACCAGTTCTTGTACCCATAGCAGACTCATCAATCACAGCACTATTCCCAAGGAGTCCTAGGATCATGACCCCAAAGAGCCACTCATCAGTCAGAACTGAGAGAAAGATGAACCCTAATTGCCAACCCTATTTTAGAAATCAGAACCAAATATTATGTGGGAGAATGAAAAATCCCTTGGGCATGAAAAGTATAGTCAGGAGAAAACAGATCTACATAGAGTGCCTTAGTGGGAGACCTTAGGCACTAAATTGGCAGTGCCAACTCCAAACTGACACTTCTCCAAGCATATTTCAGACCAAGCTCTTCTCCCTGCCTGCCACTTCCAGATAATTTCCCAGACTTCTCATAGAGCTAAAATCAGAGATAGCTTCCACAATTTATGAAAGCAACTTCCCTCAACTGCTCCCCAACCTGGCCAGTTTTATCTATTCGTAGAACACTAGGCTTCTTCTTTAGTGTAGTCCCTGATGAAGCAGGGGCCAGAATGTCTTGGCCACCTGCAGTGACACTGCTGGACTCCAGAAAACCATTCCATAAAAAGAATGGATTCCCCAGGCTCACAATGCAGAGACAGTGAGCCTACGGCAACTGTTTTGACTGCTGGCAGTACAAAACGGTCGACCCCACACCACTGCAGCATGACCCACTGTGGCACAAGGAAGTTCAAGCCAAGATGCCAACATTGTTGTACAGCAAAATGGCAGACATCCGGTGAGAATCAGTGTTCAGGATCTCCACAGCACATCAATCAGAAGCCCTGTACAGTTTCCAAGATGTTGTTTTGGTGGACTTTTTTGATGAAATGGGGAACTGAAAATACATGATGAATATGAAAAGGATTAGCAGGGTTTACCCTTAAAACTGACTCATCAAATCACCCCTAGTTATTTAGAATTACAGTTGCAGAGAAACTTCTATACTGTATGAACAAGGAAATATTTTAATAGCAAGAGCTATTAGAAGCAAGAAAGTGCTTTAATGGGTTTATAAAATCCATCAGTACTTGTGTCACTCCCTGTAAAAGGCAGCAGACATATGATTGTGATCAGGAAACTGCACAAAATAATTTTTTCAAACCCCATGTTATTGTCCTTGTGAAATTTGTTGGATTTTGTTGTTTTTTGTTTTATGCTAAAACCCAGCCTGTCGTTGTATATATTCGTGTTCCATGTGTTAGATGGAAGCATTTCCTATCCAGTGTGAATAAAAAGAACAGTTGTAGTAAATTATTATAAAGCCAATGATATTTCATGGCAGGTTATTCTACCAAGCTGTGCTTGTTGGTTTTTTCCATGACTGTATTGCTTTTATAAATGTACAAATAGTTAATGAAAGGACGAGACCCTTGTTTGCACAGCATTAATAAGAACATTGAGTTCCATGGTCCCCTCTGCTTCGACCAGCTCACAGTTTCTTGCCTGGAACTTGGCACATACTCCAGTGAGATACAAGGTCTCTCTTTTACCAAGGTCAAGAACAGAGCTGGCAGATAAATTAGTAGTCTTAGATATCTGGCTATGGGCATCCTCATCGTAAATATCACTAGAATGGGCAGAGATGATCTTGAAGTCTCAGTATACACCAAAGTCCAAACACTGTATCAGATGAGGGAAACCCCAAAAATAACTAAAAAAAAATAATTATAAGATAATGAGCAACAATTTCAGCCCAGTGCCAACTCAATAAAAACAGTTAATGCTGTGTAAAATGGGTTGAATTAGTTTGCAAACTATATAAAAATATATACAATAAAAACTCTGTTAATGCACACCAGGTGGAAATGAGGTGTTCTAGTCAATTGCCTTTTCTAGTTATCTGAGCTCTATTATGTTATCATACTTGAATAACCAATTTAAAAGAATTAGAGTATGACTTTTTTCAATACACTTAACATTAAACTCTTCTTCTAACTCTTTATTCCTTCTGTGAGAATTCAGAAGACAGTTATGGATCTCCAGTGCTCTGAGTCATTGTTATAAAAATTCAGTTATCACTGTACCATGTTAGAGAAGACTGGGAAAATTTGTACAATGACAAACCATGGAAGTTGCTTTTTCAAAAAATAATAAATTCCTAAAAACAACTTTTTCCCTGATTATGTGTTGCTCTGTTATAAGAATAAAGTATAGATTGTTTAAGTGCTTAACATTCTGATAATAAAATAGCTGTCATTCTGCAAATCAAATATTTCTCAATTTTAGGCTTCCCACTAAACTCTAAGTCTCTGTCATTACTTCCTTAGTTGCCCAACATTCAAAATATTCTTTATTTCTAGTTATAGTTTTCAATTTTTCAAAGTGATCCATGCTAAATGAAAATTTAAAATAAAAAGTGCATACAAGGAGGCACACAGAAAAAACAATGTACTATGTCAGTTCAGATTGTGGGTGGTATGTGACTGCCTATAACAGGAACTTGGCTATGATTGATTTGACCAATGACTCCAGAGATTTTCAACTACCTAGGAAATGAGGTAGTGTTTTACACAGTGTTGCAATAAATATCTGCCTATAGACACCTCAAAATATTTTTATTATTTCTGCCTTCTAATACAAACCCCTTTACTCTTCTTAGCAGTTTCACTTCAGCTCCTCCATTTACATTTCTTGTACGTAAAATGGTATCTCTTACCAGTAGATGTTTATCTTTACAAGTCCTCATTTTGAATTCCTCTTAATTGGAATAAAACCACCTGCAAAAAATAAATCATGTCACAATTTTTTCCCAAGGCTTCATGTGTACTCACTTTTTAATAGCATCCGGGGCACATGCACATTTTAAATTATATCTTTAATCATCAAATGTTTTTGAGATAACAGCCTAACTGGAACAAATAAGAAAAGTTGGAGCTCTACCTCACTTCTTGCACCAAAATAAATTCCAGCTGTATTTAAGTATAACAAATGAAACCAAGAAAATACTAGAAGTGGTAAAAATGTTTACTGTGTACCATGAATAGTTTTTAAATACTACTTACTGCTTTTATTACCAACCAACTCATGCATCACTACAACTACCCTGAGCAGTGCATAAAGATGAATAAACAAACAATAATTAGTAACAGGGAAAAGATCACTGAATAGGTGCTGATTATGAACTTGAGTGGGAGACACACAACTGTTCGTCATTAATCCAATTTTATTTCTTCAGATGAATGTTTCTCTAGAGACAAACTTAGATGCAGTTAAGAACTCTGTTCATCTAAATACTTTGTAAATAAGCTCAGCGTGCTTACAATTACCAAATATTGGGTATGAGGTTATAGATTTTAACATATGCCAAACAGATGGATTTTATGATCATCACAATTGTATTGCATTGAACCAACACACCTCCATCCCAAAAGTGTCACACCTAACCAATCAGGAGCCTTGCAATTTTATTAGGGTAATTTTTAATTCCTCTTCTTTCTACTCAACATTAAAATGGCTTAGTTCGAAACTAAGTTTTAAAGTCTCTTAAAACTTAGTTCTCCACTTAAATTAGGCCAACTTTTGTTTTTGGATTTCAAAACTGTGTGACATCTTCTTTACTTAGTTTAAATATATCACAATGTACTAATAAAATGAAAGCAGCAGTTAACAAATGCTGCCTGAGTCATTTAAGCTCCAAGCAAAGCTTTGTTAAAAAGGATGTTGAATTAATTGTGCACATTCAGTTCTTTATCCAGCATCTTTGGTTGGGAGTTTTTATAAACATTAGAATGAACACAACTCACAAAGGACAATTTTCTTCATGCAATAAAGTGACCAATATTCTTGAAAAACAGTTTCAAAGCACAAGAAATACTGGGTGTTAGTGCAAGTGTCTAGAAAGAAAACATTTCATTTTTTTCAGGAGGAGAAATAAAACAGCTGTCAGTGATCCATTCACTGTAGTTCACCCTTTCAAAAACGTGCACCTCCAAAAGTAACCATGGAACTCATACAGCCCTCTAGCTTCACATTTTCACATTTTTTTTAATACAACACTTTGATGTATCGCTCCCTTTGAACCCCATCTCACCTTTTCAGAATCTAATGTCCATGTCTTTTTGCTTGGTTTTACTCTTTTAAATTATGAATAGGACACCTAAGCCATACAAAATTGGATTGAAATTAATGATCATCTACATTTCCAACCCAATTTTTCTGGAGTCAGATAAATATTCCATGCAAATCCAAAGAGTGTTTCATAGATAAAATGATTCAGAAGTATTCACATTCATCTGAAGTTGCAAGAACAGGCTTCTCCCAACTGGGATAGATTCAAAACAAGTACAGTATGATACCATCACCTGAAGAGGGAGATCCTATACCTCTAAAACACAACGATGTAAACTAATGTTACCTCAATTTAATTTTAAAAAAGAAAATATCAAGGGCCTCCCGTGGTGGCACAGCAGTTGAGCACTGGGCTGCGAAGCTGCCCGCAGCCTCTGCAGCGTTGGTTCGATCCCCAGCCACCTGTGAGGGTCCCAAATGGCGTGCAGACCTCTCCTGCCGCCCGCTGCTCCCCTCAGCAGTGTACTTCGGTACTTCTGTCTGTTCTGCTCCCCGCTCTGGTGAATTCTCTCACCCTCCCGTGCTTCTGACTGTACCCAGTGCTTGTATAAATAAATAAATAAATCTTAAAAGAAAAATTAAAAAAGAAAATATCAAAATTCCATTTAAAAAAAGGTAAGGAAGAAACCAATTTGGGGAGGGATGGGGGTCCAAAGACAGTGTGTAAAATGTGAAAGGGAAGATGAAGGGAGATGAGAATGTGAGAGGAGCCATTCAAGGCAAGAGGGGCAAGAAAGAAAGAGGAGGCAAAGCATGCTGCGTACTGATAGCAACTCAAGCCTGGCATGGAGTAAGGCATGTGTAAACGAGAGCTGGGAAGGTTAGTGAGCTAAGTGGCCCTGCTAGCTAAAGACATTAGGCATGGTGATACAGTCACTGGGATATAGCAAGGAACCCCCGGACCAGTTACCTTGTGGTGGCAATAACTATAAGATTGTACAGGCAGGAAAGCCCTGAGCAGGTTCTCTATAAGCCTATGCAAATGGGTAAAGGAGAGTCCTGGAGCCCTCGGTGGCTTTTCAGGCTTTTACTGAGTTTACCAGGCACACGGTAGGCAGGGGAGCCAGGGGACCGGGAAGCTGACAGGCCAACCAGCCCCCAGCAAGTCGTCACTCTTTCTGGGCTCTCAGGCGTTCTCTCATTGTCTCTGCTTCTGCTCTCATTCTGTTGCTCTCTTTTACTTTTGGTCCTGTTCTCCTTCTCCTGGTTCCCTCTCTTCCTCTGCTGGCGTCCCTGTGACGACACCCTTATAAGCCCAGTCTCAGCCCAGGTGTACCCACCTATGCATGCCCACACCCTAGTCCAGGTGCCCACCATCAGGCATGCATTTAAGACCACAGGGATCCATCATTAATCCTAATGGTGGGAGGGCAGAAAAGCCTGATACTTTTTTCACTTACCCTCCATAGACACACCCTCACTGAGGCCACCACTCATAGCTGGTGGGGTTAAGTGGAAAGTTCAGACTAAACCTGTTCAATGTCTTTTTATCCAAATGGTGGCAAAGATGGTGGGACTCTAGTGCCAGCAAGGCTAGGAGCAGGATCTCTATGCACCCCATGCAGACGGGTAAAGTCAAGTCCTGGAGCCCTCAGTGGTTTTTTTCAGGTTTTTATTGAGTTTACCAGGTACACGGCAGGTAGGGGTGCCGGGGGTCCGGGAGATTTGCAGGCCTCCCAGCCCCCAGCAAGTCTTCACTCTTTCTGGGCTCTCCGGTGTTCTCTCGTGGTCTCGTCTCTCTTCTGCTTCTCTTTCTGGTGGTTCGTTCCCCCTGACACCGCCCTATAAGCACAGTCTCAGCCCAGGTGTAGCCATCTACAAATGCCCCCACCCACTCCAAGTGCCATCAGGCATGCATTTAGGATCACAGGGATCCATCATTAATCCTAATGGCAGGAGGGCAGAAAAGCCTGATAATCACTTACCCTACAGACTCAAACCCTCATTGAATAAGTTCCATCCTTAAGGAGAGTAATGAGAGTTTTAGTCATCTCTCCAAGAAAAGAAATTTTCTTTCCTGCTTCAAACAGGCATGTCAGTATTTGCAACAATTACTCCTTTCTGCCGTATCTGACTGCCTTCTCCACTCTATTTGGGTATAATGAGTCCCTCTTGGCTATTATCAATACCTGTGTTACAGAAGTACAGTTTTAGTGATTTTGTTTTGTGTGTTTTAAAAAGGCTGAATAGACTTATTACTCATTACTGTGAGGAATAAGATATGCAATCCTGCAGGAGATTTTGAGTCCACATCTGACCTTCATCATGCATTTATATTTCCCCCATTAAATTTACAAAAACAAATGGTCACTCTCAACTAGCACTGACTGTTGGTTCTTGCAGAATTTTGATGTTTAGATCAGAATTTTTATAGGCTTTTCAATATTTGCTCTCAAGAGATTCTTAAAAGATCATTGAACCATTAGTAAAAATAAGCAATCCTTCCAGTAATGTGTCCTGGACATAGTTTTCTTGCTTATAATTAACAGCAGTAATTGACAGAAAAATTCTAATTTTCTTAGAAATTTAGGAGTAGAGAAGAAAAAACTTCTTTAACATGTGTAGGGTAAGGTAAAAGTATCAGGCTTTTCTGCCCTCCCGCCATCAGGATAGATGACGAAACCCTGTGGTCCCGAATGCATGCCTGATGGTGGGCACCTGGAATAGGGTCTGGGCATATGTAGATGGGATTCACCTGGGCTAAGACTGGGCTTTTAAGGGCTGTGTCACAGGGACACCAGCAGAAGCAGAGAAGAGAAGCAGAGAAGCAGAAAAGCAGAAGCAGAAGCACAACCACGAGAGAGCAGAGCAGCAGAGAACACCAGAAAACGCCGAAGAGCCCAGACAGAATGAAGACTTGCTGGGTGCTGGGAGGCCTGCCAGCCTCCTGGCCCCCCAGTATCCCTGCCTGCTGTGTACCTGGTAAATCCCAACAAAAGCCTTCAAAAGCCACCAAGGGCTCCAGGACTCTTTCCTCCTTTACCCCGACTGCTTGGGTCCATTGAAAACCTGCACTGTGGCCCATTCCTGCCCTTACAACATGATAAAGGTATCCACCCAAAAAAAA